TGTCGCTGTCTGAGGACATTTCTATTCGCTCCTGTCATTTATTGTGCCCAAAAGGATTTGTCCATCATTATAATGGCTCTGCAGAGGCAACAGCCACAGTAGGTTTACAGAGTCTTTCTCTTGAGTTTCTTTGGTCCTTTAAATAACACTACTATAGTTTTACAGCTTATTCTGAAGTCTCCACAAAACCACTGCCGTTTACAGATCTCAATGACTGACGATTGATGGTAGTAACATTTATATACTGAATATCATATTTAAAGGGATAGTATGCTAAAAAAAAAAAACACTAAAGTGGTTCAACACACACTGTAAACTTAGAACTAAGTTTGGTGAATTGAATAATTAAAGTATAGTCTACAAAACCGGCGAGTTAAATAAACTTAAATATACAAGTTTTGGGAGACTCCATTACTCAATTGAATTGAGGAAATGAGTTTACTCAATTAATTTAATTCAGTCAACTTATTAGGGTTTTTTTAGTGCAAAGGAAGATATTCTGAAGATTGTTGAGGGGAAAAAAAATCATCAACTGACATCCATAGTAGGAACAAAAATACTATGGAAGTCAATAGCTGTTTTTTTCCCCCAACATTCTTCAGTGTTTCTTCCTTTGTGGAGAAATAGAAGAAAAAAAACTAGGACAAGTGAATGATGAGTAAATGATGACAATTTTCATTTTGGGGTGAACTATCCAGGAGCAATTAAGGAGCAATGTGGTATATGCCCAGCTAGTGTGTTTCCCATACTGATGAACTTCCATGCAGGGAAATGTTATTGTATTTTTTTTATTAAATTTTTTACGGTTATTTTACAGCATCGATGTTGTAGTGTAATTACAATACAATCAGTTAAATAGATTTTGGCATTCATTTAGTTGCTCAAGCGTAAAACAAGACTAAAAGACGTTTACTCGCACGCGCCCGTCAGAATTGGCAGGCTAGCACAGAAGCTCATTGAATATACTGGGGTAAAACAAATGCTCATATTTTAAAGACATGGCAGGGAAAAAATGTAATGTAATGCAGCGCTTCTCATACAATCTGAGACCCACTTTATATCAGATATCACTCAGCCAGTGGAGATCGCTGATTTCTACAGTAAACAGACCTTAAACATGCCGATTTTGCATTGTCATACAGTTCACCGGAAGCGCTTAAACCAGGTTACTGGCAAATTAAAAGTCCTATTAGCATGATTCGGCATATACCCTAAAATAAAATAAAAACAGATTCTTTGATTATTTGTGTACACTCAAAATACTATTTGTGCTGCTTGTTCAAACATCTCAATTGTTAAGATTTTTTGGGGACAACGTTTTTGTTTTAAAGGGGCAGAAGGTGATCTGCCAAAATGCTAATCGGTTAGCATATTAGCTTCGGACGGCAGGGGAGGGACTGTGTTTCAAAGCCACACCTCCTGAAATCGCGAACGTGCTCACCGCAACACGACATCAGACAACCCACTAGTTCATATCATTCGCCAGTTAGAAGTGTATGTAGTGGTTGGCCCGGCGGAATTACAGTAATTACTAAGGAATTACACTTATTACTAAGCCACACTTATATGCTATTTCAGAGCGAATATTCAGAGTAGCATGGTAAACAATACCTGGAGCGCCTCACAGGCTGTCATTGTTCAGAAATGACCCAATGTGAATATAAAAGCAACTGCCTAGCTTTTTTCGGCTAGGCAGAATAGCGCTATTTACTGATGATTTGTTGTAAACTAAATATAAATCTACATTACTGATGCTGTAAAAGGACCTTATGAAACTGAAAATAGTTGCATCAATCTTTCACCGGGGGATTTCAATGGCTGAACAACACTTCTGTGCATATAACAATAACCTATTTGTAACACAACATCTGCATCAGCTCAGCGTGAAGCTAAAATAGTTTTAAAACATTACCTGTCTAACAAAAACACTTCATCCATGGTGTCATCCTTCCTCCAGTGTGCAAAAGTAACTCCAAAATTGATTCAGGATTTTAAAAAGTTACAATTCAGCATTTGATTTTGCCACTCTTTAGGTACCATACTGTTATGCTAGGTAGGGAAAGGGTCCCAAAAAGTGGTACGTGCTACTGGTGACCAGGAAGAGGCAAAAAGTAGAACCACATGCAGATTGTAACATTTATTATATGTAGAAGAGAAACCAAAACAAACAAAGGCTGACATAAAAAATAACCAGATACACTACTTAGAAAACAATGAACAACAAACAGGAAGTGAAACAAAGGGGGTTAAATACATAAATATGTTAATGGAGTAATAAGGGGTGGAAACAATAATAAAAAAATCTATTATTAAAAAAACTGACAATTGACAGGACGTAACAAGCGAGAAAAAGGCAAAAGTACAACACAAACATGGGACCTAAATAATACAGTATGGATTGCTATGTTGCTGGTAGTTTTGACAGTAGAAACCATACCTTCCAACCCTCCCTTTTTCCCGGGATGCTCCTGTATTTTACAGTTCTATTCTGTTATTTCCGTCATCCCGTAAAGGTAGACTATTTCTCCTATATTTTTAGTCTTTTTCTGAAGGGTGGCTATAAACATTAAAGAGCCGAGCCTCCCTATATGCAACCCATTCCGCTGAACCACCAGGGGACATCCCTTGCTCTTAAATGTGAGTCTGTTCTGTGCTTTCATTTTATTTAGGCATGAAAACAGTTTGAAATAAATATAAAAATGGCGGGATTCCATTTCCTTTATATTACAGGTGTCATTGCCCCTTCTATGCAATCCTCATAACAGTCATATATAGCGGTGCGTGACTGTCAGCTGACGCACGCCATAGTGATAAATAGATGCTGTTTCTCAAACAGATTCTGTACACACGATTTGAAGTGGAGTGAAAGTCTGGGTTTTAAGCACACATATACATATAATTGATAATAATAACATCTAAAGATGTCGATCTTGGTGTTTTTTTTTTTTTTCAAACACAACTATTTTTGTTAGAAAAGCAATTGAATGCTTTCATTATGACATTAGAAGTGTGCATTTTTAAAGTGACACCTGTTGTTTAATTAAAGCAAACGAAACATACAAATAAATGAGATTCATTCTGTTTTTTAATCAAAATGTGTAAGTTATACAGTGAAGAAAAGATTCATGAGATTTGATAATTATTTTTCTTTATAACTGTTTGCTAGTTTATTTGCTGCTAATGTATACTATTTATTTTTTATTTTGTAAATAGTAATAATAAAACATATTACTGACTGTTTAACTTTACAATAAAACAGCTCCAGACTAATATATTTAGTATAAGGGGTGGGTTTAGAGAGAGAGGGGGGGGGGGTTTATCCCTTATTAAGGTGGTCATATTCCTTATTTTCACATCCTAAAGTTGACAGGTGTGATAGAAACAGAAATAAATGTGTATCATATGTTACTCTACTGAACAGTAATGTCGTGGTCGCACTAGAGTTTGAGCATGTGAAATTATGTCGTACGGTGCTGCGAAAAGGGGCGGGATTAAACAAAAAGATTAGACATTCAAAAAAGCAAGCGATTGGTCCAAATTTGAAATTTCTGTCTAGAGAGGTCATGTTTTTGATTGGTCTCATGCAGTCACATGATGTGGTTTCCCAGGCCAGGGTTCACCAAGCTTAAACTTTGCAATGCAATAAACTGCAAGACTTGTTGAACGAGCTTACGCTTACGATCTGTCGCATTCGCATGTGTATGAATAGAAGTCTATGAGGCGAAAAGTGCAGTGTGACCAAAGCTTAACGCTCAATGGAAAAGGTTTACTTTAGACCATTATAGGTTGTTGTTGTTTTTTACAACAATTAATCATTTGGTTTATGTTACATTCAATGCTATGTTAATAATAACTGCAGTGATCTTCAAAGTAATAATAAAATAAATAACTAAATAGCTAAATTCACCAACAAATTGCCTTAATGCACCTAGGATCCACATATTACATTCATTACAAACGATGCTTACGGTTTCGTGCTTATTTTGTGCTTATATCAATTGAGGTATACACTACCTGACAAAACTGTTGTTGTCTATCCAAGTTTTAGGAACAACAAATAATAACTTGACTTTTAGTTGATCATTTGGTATCAGAAGTGGCTTTTATGAAAAGTGAAGGCCTGTAGATTATGATTTATTTTACCAAAATAAAAAACATTTTCATAGGACAGTAAGGTCTGACTTTGCTTAAACGTAAGTCTTGTCACTAAACAGAAATAATGTACAGTATAGAATATAAAGTCATGGTGCAGTGGAAAAAGAATTAATATATCGCTCAAATAACTTATTAATAAATCTGGAATGGCAAACGTTTTTCCAGGACTCCCAGAGTTCATCAAGATTCTTTGGATTCATTTTCAATGCCTCCTCCTTCATACTCAACAATGTTCATGTCTGGTGACTGGGCTGGCCAATCCTGGAGCACCTTGGCCTTTGCTTTCAGGAGCTTTGATGTGGAGGCTGAAGTATGAGAAGGAGCGCTATCCTACTGAAGAATTTGCCCTCTCCTGTGGTTTGTAATTTTAATGTAATGGGCAGCACAAATGTCTTGATACCTCAGTCTGTTGATGTTGCCATCCACTCTACAGATCTCTAGCACACCCCCATACTGAGTGTGACCTTTATATTTTTCAAGATATTAGTATTCAGCTGAAAGTGCCTTTTTAAAGGCTTAACTAGGTTAATTGGGTTCACTAAGCAAGTCAGGGCAACTAGACAAATCTTTGTATAACTATATAAATGCTGCTTAAGGGGGCTAATACTATTGACCTTAAAATGCTTTTATTCTAGCTAAAATAAAACAATTAAGACTTTCTCCAGAAGAAATAAATATTATCGAAAATATTGTAAAAATTGTTTTCAACATAATTTGGGAAATATGTAAAAAAGAAAAAAAACAGGAGGCCTAATAATTTTGACTTCAAGTGTACATGATGGCATGTAATAGTTGTGTTTCATTTCGTAGGGGAGTATTTTTACCACTGCATCATTGTAGCTAAAGGAAAGGGTAGGTGTAAGGGTAGGCGATGGGTAAGTAGAATAGGGTTTGGACCCTCGCATAGTGGATTTTATTCGCATCCGGTGTGGGCTTGGTGGAACGCAGACCTTACAGGGTCTTCAATTCTCCCTTCAGAAACCTCACACTGACTACATAGTGACAACCTACCATCCTGCTGTCACTTAAAAAGAAGTCATTTACGCAAAAACTTGACCTGAAAATACCTTTAAAATATATATATAACATGCTGATGGGTATCCTAAAGCCGAAAAGAACAGGTTGAGAGATATTACAGTAAACGGCGGGTAGTTTCCCTGACAGGAAGTCATCTTGACAGGTATGGGAAATGACCTCCTAACACACTAAACATACAAATATGTGCTCGAGTATTGTTTTCGGGGTGGTTTACACTAGATTGAGTCCCTGCTGTGCTGATCAGCGAGTGTCAACTTGAGGGAAGAGCATGAAGATTTTTGTGTTTCTGTTTCCTCAGTTCAACTTCTCTGCCCCCAAGGAGGAAGCATATTTCAAAATGCGCAGCGAGGACGAGCAGCTCGCCTGCAGAATGAAAGAGACACACTTGAGGTACACTTTTATTTCATTTTTACTCATATTAAAGTATTGAAGGAGAGAGGTACCACCCGCTGGGGGTTTTCTTCAAGCAAATGCATTGAGATAGCATTTGGGTTATGTTTCTCTTTGTTATGTGTAACTTCCTTTATTTCTGGAGCTCATTTTGCTGTGACCAAAACAAGAAGGCTTTGTTTAATAAAATGTTGCCCTTTTAAGATGTTGAAAGCTAAACTTTTATTTTGCTTTAATAAAACAGGCAAGAAAAGAAATTGAAAATGTTCTGTAGATCAGTGTGAAAATGCACCTGCTGTTGTGTCTACTTCACATTATGCTTGTGTATCTTGTATTATCAACATATCCTCAGTTAAGATTCACTGTGGGAATATCTCAGTGCTGAACGACAGTTCTGTCCTAAACCTTACAGTGTAAAAAAGGCCTATTAATTAACCGTATTCCCTATTTGGCGGTTCAAAAGTGTTTTCTGTTTATTTATAGTTGTGAATTGCACTATGGTTGCTTGATTTCTGCTCTCTTGACTTTAGATGGTGAAAATTCAACTCTAAAGTTGAACAAAGTGACTTTTATTGACATTTTAGTAGTTTGAATTAATATAATGTAATAGAAATTTGATCATTCTGTCACATTACATTATTTCAAACTACTAAAATGTCAAGAAAAGTCACTTTGTTCAACTGTAGAGTTGAACTTTTAACATAGAGAGAAATATAGAAAAATAAGTCTGTAAAAGGACAGAATTTACAGGCAGTTTATTACAAGGTTTTTGTAGCATAATAAACAAGACCAACCTATACAATATATCACTTTAAACTATTAAAAATGTTAATAAGAGTTCAATATTTTCAAGGTTGAAAGTTTTTGGAAGAAAGACCAAGGTCCCTTAATGCAATTCAAAAGACGTGAATTACAAAATACGCAAAACCTCTAATTCACAGGTATGTTTAATAGTGTACTTTCTCAGATAGACTGAGAAACAGCAGTAAATCTATCAGAACTCAAAATGCATGCAGCACAGTGTGAGTAAAGTTTAACATTTCTCTCATAGGCATGGCAAAGAAGCATTTCAGCAAATAAATTGTTTATTTTGTACAACGTATCATTGACTTTTGTACTCTAAAAGCCATTAGCCAGCACTGTGGTAAAACTTCCCCTTACAGCAGCCATATGAAAGCACAAATGTTCTGTTTAGCAACTGCATGGTGGAAGTAAACATGCAATGTACAGTAATATCGCATGTGTGTACATTTGTGCACAATGCAATCTGATTCTTTGACCTCTATTCTTAATGATAGATAGATAGATAGATAGATAGATAGATAGATAGATAGATAGATAGATAGATAGATAGATAGATAGATAGATAGATAGATAGATAGATAGATAGATAGATAGATAGATAGATAGATAGATAGATAGATCTATCAGATTCACTTCAGAGTGGCATTTCTTATTGATTTAAGCAAATTGCAAAGGCTTTGGTGCATGTGTGCCAACAGTAGGTACAATTGTCTGCCGTTTGGACAAAAACTAATTGCATATGGCTTGTTGATCACAACCGAATCAATTCTCATTTAAACTGTTAAACTCTTCACAACTTCTAACTATTTTTTTTATCGAGTAAGCCATCCCAACATTATCAAACATTTGTATGTGCACGTTTACACCATAAATATCTGAATATGACTTTGTTTTTAATGTCTGCTAAATTGGTAAATGACCTCTAGTTGCAATACAATTTGCATTATCTATTTAATAATCAACTTTGGTAGTATATATATATATATATATGGCATTTCTTATTGATTTAATATATATATATATATATATATATATATATATATATATATATATATATATATATATAACTGTAACATTTCTCTTATAGGCATGGTATATAGGCAATGTACCATTGTGTCTTTTGTACTCTAAAAGCCTCTTGCTAGCACTGTGGTAAAAGTTCCCCTTATAGCAGCCATATGGAAGCACACATATTCAGTTTAGCAGCTTCATGGTGGAAGTAGACATGCTGCATGTGTGTACATTTGTGTACAATGCAATCTGATTCGTTGACCTCATTTCTTAATGATAGATAGATAGATAGATAGATAGATAGATAGATAGATAGATAGATAGATAGATAGATAGATAGATAGATAGATAGATAGATAGATAGATAGATAGATAGATAGATAGATAGATAGATGGATAGATAGATAATTTATTTGACTATTTATCCCTCTATATTTATGATTAAAATTGCATTATGAGATCTTAATCTTTCTTTCAACACCTTTTAACCTTGAAAAGCTGTCCAACTGTCCAACCCCAACATCTCCAATACTCCCCAATATCTTTAATCAAAGAAAAGGAATCAAACTACTTCCGTCATGTTTTTTACTTGGCGTGTGCTGTGAAACTCTATTAAACAACACTCTTCCAGCAGTCCCTATGCCATACTCGTGTTCAATAGCCCAATTTGTCACAGGGGCATGAATGCAGTTAAAAGTCGAAAAATTAAAGATGAAACACCCAAAATTACATGAAACTCTGCAGGAAACGTGGATAGCCTGGTGACACAACATTCAAAAAGCACTGCACGTAAACACCTATATTATTGTCTTATTCTGATTAAGGCAAATAACTAGATTACTTGATGTCAATGTAAACGTAGTCAGCAGAGTCTTCAAAGTAAGTGAAAGATCCAGAAGGGCATCCTGCTGAAGGTCACTTTTTTGGCAGATGCTCCTCGGTTTTACTTTCATTTACTGTCACTAATTTTAATAAGCACCCGGTCCATTTTATTTGTATATGTTTTACTCGAATCCATTAACTCTACAGGTGCCTGATAGTTAGCTGTAGATCGTTATTCTATATTCAATTTCTGTATTGCACTGTATTGCACTGTATCTGTATTGCACTGTAGTGAATGCATAAAAATCATAATTTATTTGAGTGCACCCTCAAAAAAATGTTAATAAGCAGATCTTATACAATTGGTTTTTACAGGATTGATTGATTGATTGATTGATTGATTGATTGATTGATTGATTGATTGATTGATTGATTGATTGATTGATTGACATTTTTGCAGAAGTAAAGATAAAAAAGGTCGACTCAGTCTTCTTCTGGCCAGGTCTGGATCCCACGAAAATGTCAGTCCCGATAAGAAGCCCCAAGCAAAAAGTAACCAGTAAGTCAGGTATTTTTTATTCAATCAACTCCAATATCAAAAAGTCACCATACAATGTTTCATATTGGACAATCAGAAGCATGAATCTGTCTCTATACTCACAAAGCGCTTCTCTAACAACAATAATAACCACTGATTAATGTGATTTTGACAGTATACCACCGGACGTGGCTATGAAATGGAGTGACTCATTTGAGGACTTGCTGAGTCACTCAGGTACGAGCTCTTCATTTTATCATTGCACTGCAGTTAATGCGTCTGAATGTTTTAAAGTTCCCCGTCATAACCACATCATGAAAACAAATATATTTGACAACAAGTCTTCTGAACGTTATGGTTTTTTCGTGATTGATTAAACAAACACGTTATTAATTTGTGCTGTCTGGAATGTCTATTATTGGTCCTTCAGTGGAACCTTGTAATGAGCTGGCGATTTATTAAAAGTAGTTTTGACTGTCAACACTGTAAATAAATGCTGGGTTGTGTTGAGACAACATGATGGAATCAAGTCATTAGTTTTACAAATTTAAGTGGATGGAACATAAAAAATTGAGTTGTGCCTCAAAAAAACTCAAGAGTTGTTTCAGCTCATTTTAAATAAGTAGCTTGAATTATACATAGGCTCATTCTGAAAACATAGCCCTATATACATTCCTGGAGATCGCAAATTATGTAGCCAGAAGCACGTACTGTATGGCTGCTTTTCGTCTTTAAAGCGAACGCTACAGGGTGGTATGAAACCGGTCCTTTACGCGATTACCAACTGATCGCTTACCTCTGTATGAACGACTTTCCCGCTGTTACCAGTTTGTCCAGTAGCTCGCCATGTATGTCAGTAGACTTTGAGATTTCGTGTTCGAGGGTTCAAGTCAGGTGAAGAACGGTTCCAGACAAAAACAGAAGCCAAAAAATAAAATAAACAAGTAAATAACAGGGTGAAAATTTTGTAAAACCTGAAAACGTGATAAAAATCAGACGAGGGCTTTTTTTCTGTATTGCTTTTTAATACTGTCGGTTGGGTTTAGGGAAGTGGGTGGACGGGTTAATTGGTGCCTTTGAAAACACTATTCGCTTGTTTAGTGTGACGTCACGCGAAGCGGCTTCCAGGTCCAAGCGCTCTATTCAACTGAATGGGGAGACTCATGAAATGGTAGTAAAAAACGTTTACAAAGCGATTTAATAATTTCGAAAATACTTCGAAACTCCAATGGCTAGAAAGTGATTACTTTTTTTATAAATTGAAAAAATTTTGGTATTTGTTATGCAGCAAACAAAGATATTGTTGTGTACACTATGACTTTATGCAAAATTAACTTTAATGTGTGATATGAATAAAAAGCGATCATAAACGAATAATTTCTCAACTCAAATGAATGGCGGTTTGGACCCGGAAACATACATACGTTACATACGTCACAAACACATCACCACTTAACAAGCACATTGGTTGGGTTTAAGCAAGGAGGATGGTGGGTCAGTCGATCAGTCAGTCAGGTGACAGCGGCCTCTGGTGGATTTATGCAAAAACAGTCGACACGAATAGCATTTGCGAGATAAATTTGAGATCTGAAAAAACATACACAGGGGCCTCTTATGAATTTGCGAAAACAAAAAATCTAAAAAAAAAAAAAACTTTCCTCCTAAAACATATTTGGGACTCTCGAGAAATGTATATAGTGGTACATTTTCAGAATGAGCCTGGGTTGCTTGAATTCCTAATTTTTTGAGTGAGTAAGTATGATTATTTCACAACCTCAACATTATTCTCGATCAATCGTTTCTACGGCAACACGATTTGTATTGCATTTTGAGCTGCTTCTGTCAATACACACTGCAAAAAAATGCACAATTCCTTCATGTTGTCCAAACACAAACTGAGTTAACTTAATCGTTTTTACAAATTTAAGTACATTCAATATAAAACAATTATGTCGTCCCCAAAATAACGAATAACGAATAACGAAAGAATTGTGTTGTTTGAACTCATTTTAACCCTTATGTACTGTTGGGGATGTTTACATCCACATATGGGGTGATTTTGTGTCCTAATATGACCAAAACTTTTTCTGTGTTTCAGCCATCAGAATGATTTTTGGTGACACGTCTTATGTTGACACATATTTTGAGAAAATGCCTTGAATTGTTTAAAGAACTCAACAATACACTCCGGGAAAATTTACTACACTTTTGTTATGTCCAGGATGAAAACATCCACTGAATGAAACTGCTGTACTAATGCATCAGATACATTTTTTTATTTGATTTTTTTTTTGCATAAATCTGTTAATCAACCTCATTCCTAATTAAAACTACTAAATGTTTTTAAAAATGACCGGATTTAACTCTTTAAATGCCAAATTCATAAATGATGTCACTGACTTGGTGAAAAACACACAATGACGTTTTTTCAACATAAAAGTAATTGTGAACTTGATTTTTTTTTATCAAAGTCCTGGAAATATATATATATATATATATATATATATATATATATATTTTTTTTTTTTTTTTTTTTTTTTTATTAATTTGAACTTTTCCCCCCTTATTTTACTGTTAGTGACTGTTTTTGCCCCACTGACTTCCATTAAAACCACATTTTTTTATTGCAAAACCAAGACAGCATATAATCATCCATTTTTGATTGTTGGTGGTTTTCCTTTTGGAAAGAGGTCAAATTTGTAATTTTTTATTGTTGATCATCAGTTGGCACTTTAAACCCTTTAGATAGTCCTATGCAAAAAAGCTTAGTTTCTGTATTTTATATGGAGTATAACAGTAAATTAAAGTGTGTATGTGTGTCTGTGAGTGTAAGAGTTACCTTAACGCACTTACCTTGATGTGTCTGAGAAAATCATGAGGCATTTTTCAGCAATTTAATCCAGTGAATGTTTTCATCCGAATGTAACAAAAGGGTAGTAAAATTTAACAGCGGAAAAGGTTAAAAAGTAATTTGAACAAGCAGGAAAAGTCATTTTCTGAGTGCAAATGATAATACTTCACAACATTTCTAGTAATCTGAACTTATTTTAAAGGCAAAATTGTACCTAAAATGACAGAAAGAGAAATTTTGCAAGTGAAGAAGTGTCTGCATTTTATATTATAGTGTGCAAGTGAAAGTCATAACATTTTAAAGAATGTGGTGGACATTCTTTTCCATAAAAAGTGCAAAAAATAGTACTTCACAACATTTTTAATAAATCTAAGCCAATTTTAAAGACAAATTTGTATCTAAAATGACAGAAAGAGCTGCATTTTGCAAGTGAAGAAGTATTACTTTTTATCAAGGTTGTCTGCTTTTTATATAATATTGTAGAAGTTGAACAATTGTAGATTGAATTTTAATAAGAAAAGCTTCCATTTGTTTTGGAAATTTCTATAGTTAAAATCTACATTAATCATGGAATGGAATAATTTGGTTAGTCCATTTGATTCAATTAGTCCATTCAATATATTGCAAGCAAAAACATGTGTAACTTGAAAATTTCCACCAGAAACTAGTACACTGTAAAAAAAAATAAAAATCCGTAAATTAACAGTTTTCTGTATTTTGTAATTCATGTTTTTATTTTTCCTTTTATTTATGATTTCAATATGGGATCTTGATCTTTCTTCCAACAACTTTTGACCTTAAAAATGTGAAGTTTGTTAACATTTTTAATAGTTTAAAGTGGTATATTGTCTGAGTTTGTGTTGTATATTATGGTACAAAATCCTTTTCTCTGTAAATTATTTCTCTCTATATTATTTCTTATGTTATTATAAACTGCTAAAATGTCAATAAAAGTCACTTGTTCAACTCTAGAGTTGAATTTTCAACATCAAAAGTTGACAGAGCAGAGATCAAGCTCCCATAATACAATTCAAAATTGTAAATAAACACAAAATACGGAATACGGAAACTGTTATTTTTTTCACAGTGTAGGGCTAATTTTAAAACCCTTTAACCACATGGCTGCTATAGACTCCAATGCAAATAAAATAAGAAAAGCATCCCAATAATCTCTCAGTTTACTTCAATATGTGTAAATAATGGATTTAGCAATTGATGTTAAGTTGCCTCTCATTTCAGATGGTGTGGAAGTCTTTACACGGTTTTTGCGTACAGAGTTTAGTGAGGAAAACATTGAGTTCTGGTTAGCCTGCGAAGACTTCAAAACCACTGAGTCTTCAACCAAACTGCAGACTAAAGCCAAACAGATACACGCTATTTTCATCGATAAGGAAGCTCCCAAAGAGGTACGTACAACACATTTGCAGTTTTGAACTTTAAAGTCAGGCTTGATGCTGTATTTAATAAATAAAGATTGGCAGATGGATGGATGGATGAATGGATGAATGGATAGGAAAATGGATAGACATACAGACATATAGATGGATGGATGAATGTTGTATGTATGGATGTATGTATGTATGGATGGATGAATGGATTTATGGATGTATGTATGTATGTATGTATGTATGTATGTATGGATGGATGGATGGATGGATGGATGTATGGATGTATGGATGGATGGATTTATGGATGTATGTATGTATGGATGGATGGATGGATGGATTTATGGATGTATGGATGTATGTATGTATGGATGGATGGATGGATGGATGGATGGATGGATGGATGGATGGATGGATGTATGTATGGATGGATGGATTTATGTATGTATGTATGTATGGATGGATGGATGGATGGATGGATTTATGTATGTATGTATGTATGTATGGATGGATGGATGGATGGATGGATGGATGGATGGATAGAGAGATAGACGGACGGACAGACAGACAGACAGATAGATTGGAGTGTGGATGGATGGATGGATGGATGGATGGATGGATGGATGGATGGATGGATGGATGGATGGATGGATGGATGGATGGACAGAGGGGGGATGCATGGATGGATGGATGGATCTTAATGCTTTAGGTGTACACGTGTAATTTATTTATTTTTTTTAGAATAATCTTAGACAGACAGACAGACAGACAGACAGACAGACAGACAGACAGACAGACAGACAGATAGATAGAACGATAGATAGATAGATAGATAGATAGATAGATAGATAGATAGATAGATAGATAGATAGATAGATAGATAGATAGATAGATAGATAGATAGATAGATTAACCTGCATTTGCATATTAACACATATTTGCATAATAATGTCCAACCGTGAGCTATTTTCAGAGTACTTACAGACATTTGTGTATTGAAAATTGAAAAGAAAAATCTGTACATTTTATGTAAAAAAAAATATTCACACAGATCGTGATCCTTTACTTGCTTGTGCCAATAGACTGACTCATTCACGTGATGTCATTGTTTCGACAAAATCGCATTAGGTAATTTAACTCTCACTTTCAAAAACTTGCTCTTTGAAAGTTTCAGTTTTCAGCCCTCTAAAATGCTTTTGTCAAGTAATCAAACACATAACCAACAGATTCATTCTTTATTTTATTTTTTTTTTAATTTCACTTATATGTATTTTTGGACAAGAAATACAACCAATACCCAGCAAACACTTTTAAGTTCTAAAAAACACCCCCTAATGTTTCCAGTAATTTATAAAAGGTTATTTTTGAATGTTCTTGGAATGTTTAAGAACGTTAAAGCCACGTTTTCAGACAGTGTATTAACATAAATATTTTGGTTATAATAATGCTATTCAAAAAATGTGTTATGTTTCAGTCTCACATTGTATTGAAGGCATAGAAAGTTTAGTAAGTTTACTGGCCATCAAGTGATTCCAAACCTTTTTGAGTTTCTTCCTTCTGTAGATATTTTGAAGAAAGCTGAAAACCTTTGACCATTGATTTCCAAAGTATGTGTTGTTTCCTTCCATGTACAAAATATTTCTTCAAAATATCTTCTTTTTGTGTTCAAAATAAGAAAGAAAAATGCCAGCAAGTTTGGAAGGAGTGTAGGGAGAATAAATGATGACACAATTATCATTTTTGGGTAAACAATCCCTTTAAATGTCTCTTAAAACCATATTATATCAATGTTTTACCAATGGTTTTCTAATAATGTCCTAATAACATAATTTTAATACCATTAGCTACGTGCTAGCATGTACACAACTGTTAATTAACATTCCAGAATGTTCTGACAATGTTCCCTTTTAGCTACATAAACAGACGCCACTTAGGAAAACACCCTTTTGTTAGTTGCAAACAATGCTACATTGCTAGCTACGTGTAGCGCTTTTGGGTAACCTCAGTGGGAGGGTGAGGGGGCCACATTAGACACAAACTAAGCTCTTTTAGCTGATGTCTGTGGTGGTGAAGCGCGGTGTGTTTGCACAGAGGCCATTGTGAGCCCCGGCCTCATGACTGGGGGCAGATCTATGAGCGTGTGGTTTTCCTGCGTTTGGCTGCAAACTCCCCCTCCGCCGCCCACGCAGCTGAGAAAATAGACACTGAAAAAAAAGCAGAAGTGAAAATCAAGCAGCAGGACCACTTGCTCTGCTTTGAACAAACTGAGAGCCAATAATGGAAAGTAGCCTTGCTGAAAGCTCACTCAGTTCTTGTAAAGAGTAACCATTATGTATTATAATTTGTTACATTCGTAAATGTTGCACACTATATTGGGAACTGAGAGAATTTACTATTGTCAGAGTAAACAGTATCTCTGCAGAGGTGAAAAGGAGAGAAAAGCCTGAGACTACTAATGAAAAACTGCTTACATTTTGAATTTTTCACATTTGTTGTTGTTGATGAATGAAGTCCCTGCTGAAAAATCCAGCTTAAACCAGCTTAGGCTGGTTGGTTGGTTTTAGCTGGTTGACCAGGCTGGTTTTAGAGGGGTTTTGGCCATTTCCAGCCTGGTTTCCAGCCATTTCCAGCCTGGTCTTAGCTGGTCAGGTTGGAAAATGACCAGCTAAATCCACCTAAAACCAGCTTGACCAGCCTGGTTTAAGCTGGACATAGCTAGTTTTGGCTGGGCTCCCAGTCTGGCTAGGCTGGTCAAGCTGGTTTTAGCTGGTCATCTCCCAGCCTGACCAGCTAAGACCAAGCTGGAAATGGCTGGAAAACAGTCTGGAAATGGCCAAAACCCCTCTAAAACCAGCCTGGCTGACCAGCTAAAACCAGCCAACCAGCCTAGGCTGGTTTAAGCTGTTTTTTTCAGTAGGGGTATAAATGAAAAGTGTAACTTAAGAAGGTATTTCAGACTGTCTTTGGTTTGGCCAGTTCTATTGTATATTTACAAATTCATACTGTATATATGTCCTAACAACATGCAACACAGTGCCACGACATACAATAAAAGGTATCTTTTTAATGTGATGTGATGTTGTGGCAAAACAATAGTAAAAACTACAGGGTGGGCCATTTATATGGATGCACCTTAATAAAATGGGAATGGTTGGTGATATTAACGAGCTGTTTGTGGCACATTAGTATTTGTGAAGGAGCAAACTTTTCAAGATGGGTAGTGACCCTGGTGGCCAATTTGAAGTCGGCCATCTTGGATCCAACTTTTGTTTTTGTTTTTATAGGAAGAGGGTCAATTGACACATCATACTTATTGGGAATTTCACAAGAAAAACAATGGTGTGCTTGGTTTTAATGTAACTTTATTCTTTTATGAGTTATTTACAAGTATCTGACCACTTAGAAAATGTGTTCAATGTGCTACCCATTGTGTTGGTTTGTCAATGCAACCCTCTTCTCCCACACTTCACACACTGATAGCAACACCGCAGGAGAAATGCCAACACAGGCTTCCAGTATGAGTAGTTTCAGGTTCTGCACATCTTGTATCTTGTACCTTACTTAATATGTAAGGTAACATGCTGTGAAACAGCGACCTTCTTACGGTGAAGCGATCGTGCTACCTACAAAAAAGAGTTTCTCAAAGATTTAATTCAGAACTATTTAGTATGTGTTTTTGGCTTTGTTTATGTGACTTTTTTACACTAAAACATGCTAACCATGCATAATCTTTGTTTACTTTTTGTTAATACAAGCACATCCATCTTTCTTGAACATCATTGTAGCACAGTTTAAGATTACATGACAGTCTAGGGTACGTTATAGTGCAATTAAAAAATAAGCACAAACGTCACAGCATATCCAAACTTCCCAATAAAACTTTCTCAAGATGCTTAGAATTTATGAGATTTATGAGAAGCAGAAGAAAGCACAGATCAGTCGTATGGCGAAATCCTTGTCCCACAAAAAATGAACTTGCGACACTTTTTTTCTTGCGTAACACAGTGATGACAAACATTTTGCTCTTTTTTTTTCCTGCAGATCAACATCGACCATTCAACCAAAGCTGCCATTGAGAAGAACATTCTTCAGCCGACCAACTCCTGCTTCGACGCAGCGCAGCATAAAATCTATGGCTTGATGAAAAGAGACTGCTATCCCCGATTCCTCGCCTCCGACATCTACCTGACCCTAACAAAGAGATCAGGTCCACCTACTATGACCAGGAGAAGATCCCGTTCCTTCGTTTTCAATGAACGTCCTGAAGGCACAGCGGCCTGGTTGTAGATCTGTACTGTAATGCTAGTTTTTGTGTTGGTACAGTTGAAGTCAGACTCATTAGCCCTCCTGAATTTATATATGTATATATATATATATATATATATATATATATATATATATATATATATATATATACTGTATTCACACCAGACGCGGTACGCGTGGATAAATCTTACTATTCATGCGTAAATAGACGTGTTAAAATTTGAGTTTACTTGCTTCATTTGCACACCAAAATCTGATTTATTTTGACCTCAAAATGAGTTTTAACAAAATTAAGAACTGCTTTTTATTCTAGCCAAAATAAAACAAAATAAAAGACTTTCTCCAGAAGAAAAACTATTTAAGGAAATACTGTGAAAAATGTATTTCTCTGTTAAACATCATTTAGGAACTATTGGAAAAAGGAATAATAAATCACAGGAGGGCTAACAACTTTGACTTCAACTGTATATTGTCAGTAGCACTTGATCCCGTGACACCTCTTAGCTATTTATTAACATTAGTTCCCGTGTTGCTGGTTGTGTATTTAAATACTAATCATCCTGTCGTCGTTGTCAAATGCTCGATTTGTGCTTGAAGGTTTCCATGCCGAGGTTAATTTAATCTACTTGTTTAGAATGGCTAAACATTGTAAATAACTGTTTTTGTGACAAAAGCTCTGTGTAATAAACTGTACATAAATGTCTTTTAATTACATTTCATCATTTTGCAAACCTTTGTGTATATATATATATATATATATATATATATATATATATATATATATATATATATATATATATATATATATATATATATATATATATATATACTGGAAGTGACTTATGAAGACTCTAGATGTCATTTAAATGTGAAACTGTTAGAAAACAAAAGCATGTACATTGACAAGTCAATCTAATAGGGCATATGCAGAAGTATGTGGAAGGACTTTCAATTGTTTAGTAATCTAGTTCAAGCACTTCTGTTGAACTGTATGTTGTTACCAACCGTTCTGAAAAACGTAGATTTCTGGAAATCGTGATTTATGTAGCCAGAGCTATGTATGGCTGCATTTCGTCTTTAAAATGAACACCACTGGGCGATATGATTCCGTTTCTTCTTGCGCTCACCAGCTGACCACTTACTCCAGTATGGAAGAACTGGGATTTGAGTCCAGAGAAAAACGGTTCCAGAAAGCGGGTAAAACAAAAACAGAAGCCAAAAATTAAATAAACAAGTAAATAACAGGGTGAGAATGTGGTAAAATTTGAAGACGTGGTAAAAATCAGACGATGGCTTTTCTTTTTCTGAATTGCCTTTTAAAATTGTCAGTTGAGTTTAGAGAAGTGGGTGGGCGCTAGTCAATTTGTGCTTTTGAAAACACTATTGGTTGGGAAAGGTAGAGGGTGGGTCAGTCAATCAGACAGTCAGTTATTCAGTCAAACAGTCTGTCGACAGTGGCCTCTGGTGGATTTACACGCGAACAGCAGGCGTAAATAGCAGAAATTTGAGCTCTCAAAAAGCATACACAGCAGCCTCTGGTGGATTTGTGAAAACAAAAACTGCAAAAAAAAATAGCTCCTGGGACATATTTGCCAGTCGATGATTACATTTCTTTATCTTCAAAATATTTTCTTCAGTGTTCAACAGAAAAACTCATGAAGTTTTGGAACCACTTGAAAATGTGTAAACAATGAATAATTTTTCATTTTGGGTGAACTCTGCCTTTAAGATTTTAATGTCAGAAGCATGAGTCTAGCATGATTACCATGTTACTAGCATATTGTTAGCAAAATTAGCATTTTAGTAACATGATGTTAACATGATTCTGGCACAATTAGCATGTTCTTAGCACAATTAGTATGTTGATAGCAGGGCTGTAGCATGATTATCATGTTAGCATGTTGCCAGCACTGCTGTTTCTAAGCATAGGTGAACTAGGTGGTCACTTCATTTACAGATCGCTGCCAGCAGAAAAGTACAACTTTGTTGATATATTTTATGCTGTAGAATGGAACCCAATTAAATTTATAAAGTCATGGAAAGTATGTGCTAAAATGCTAACTCTTTCTCAAGTTTCCTTTATTAACTTCTCATTGTTTCTGAGGACTACTTTGACCACTGAATAATATCTGATTGGAGCTTGCAGTGGTATTGTGTGCAGTCGGATTTCAGACTGTAGGAGGTCCACAGGTGTCCTGCTTTAGGCTGAGTCTCGCTGCGCTGTGCAAACATCGCTAACAGGTACTCAGTGTTTGCAATTTGTCGAGATTTCATCTCATTTCTCGTGATTTATTCTTTTTTTTTTTACCCCATACAAATTATTGTGAGCAAGATGGCCACATCTACCTCCTGAGGTGAATCATTAGAGCTCATGTCAGGCTTCCAGCTGTCTTCAGCAAGACCCACGTCTGATCCACTGTCATCCTATCAAACCAGACTGCTAGCGTCTCATAGCAGGCATCAATTATGCATGCGCAGACAGGCTACTGGAATGCATAATGTCTAACTTTGGGTGCCACCAAGCAGAACGCAGTCAGGGATGGAATTAAAAATATTGATATACATGTAAACATTTTACTCAGCTTTCTGTTTTGCAGCATGAACCTGCAGAATTATTTCCCAAACCATTCACTGTGAATAAGTGCATCAAGGTCTTAAGCAAAATGAGAATGCAACTTACCTGATTTTGCATTAAAAGTTCAATGTTTTAAAAGGGTGGCAATACATTTGAATGAGTTACAATCTCATGAAAATATATAATGACAAATAATTTGATTTTATTTTCTAAACACGTGAATGAGAACATACAAATCTTTATGAATGTATACAAAAAATGTCCATTCAATTGTATAAAAAGATTTTGATGAAAAGACACAGTATGTAATTTTCCAACCTAAGCTCATTGTAAATATGTGCTCAGGACTACATTTTTGAGAACCAACAAATATATACCCTGGATTTCATTTTTTGTTTTTGAAAATCAACTAAAGGGCGCTGTTAACATTTTTGACCCTCTAGGTCATGTTTTCTCATCTGTACATTTCATTGAATGTTAACATCTTTCTTATGATTATTTAAAAAATGCAATGAAAAAAAAAAAATAAATATATATATATATATATATATATATATATATATATATATATATATATATATATATATATATATATATATATATATAGCTAGCCACCTTTAAATTATATATTTATTTTATATTTCCTAAATAATGTTTAACAGAGCAAGGAAATGTTCACAATATGTCTGATAATATTTTCTTCTTCTGGAAAAAGTCCTATTTGTTTAATTCAGCTAGAATAAAAGCAGTTTTTAATTAAAAAAAAAAAACATTTTAAGGTCAAAATTATACCATAATTTAATAATATTTCGATAGTAGACAGAACAATCCATCGTTATACAATAACTTGCCTTATTAACCTAACCTGCCTAGTTAACTAACCCAGTTAAGCTTTTAAATGTCGCTTTAAACTGTATAGAAGTGTCTTGAAAAATATCTAGTCAAATATTATTTACTGTCATCATGCCAAAGATAAAATAAATCAGTTATTAGAAATGAGTTATTAAAACTGTTATGTTTAGAAATGTGTTGAATAAATCTTCTCTCCTTTAAACAGAAATTGGGGAAAAAATAAACAGGGGCGCTAATAATTCTGACTTCAACTTTATATCTAAGCAAGTCATGAAAGTCCACACCTAAACGCAACCTTGATGTCACAATCTGACAAATTTGTCACAAGTCTGTGTCGAACACCTCACATACAGTTTCTACTCGTGCACTTTAATTATCTGGAGATGCATATTTCCTAGAAACCCCCATTAGAAGTTCAAGGATGCAGTCTATAAATCTTGAAGAAGCCTTAAGTGTTATCAATCCACAGTTAATCAGACTAACGCCATCAAACCATAATGATCGTAATTAGCCCTAAAATCGAGCATCTTGGTAGAACGATTATTTTAATAGCTATTAAAGTGAAATCTGAGGTTTCATGAATCATAAATGGATGTTGACTAATGAACTGTTTCACGAGCTGTGTGAGATCGGGCACAAATGTGGCGACAGTACAAACACAGAAAACTGATTGTACTGTAGCTCTGAAAACCTTTTTATTTCTGTTTTACCATATTAAAAACCTGCAGTCAAGAATGCACAAACTCTTGTTGTGGGAAAGCGTAATACAGACAAATGGGGTGATGAGATGTGTTGTTGTGTTTAACACCCACAGCGCTACTTTGAGATACACCAGATGTTTCTGCAAAAAGCATTTGACCTTGACGAGAAAGAGAAGCTACACTTAAAGGGACAGTTCTCCAAAAAGTCAAAACCTAAGCCATTTGACATTTTTTACTTCCCTGTAACGTGAAAGTCAGTCGATTATTTTTGTCTAGGTAGTACAACATCTTTAAAGTGATAGTTCACCCAAAAATGAAATTCTGTCATTATTTATTTAGCCTTCACCTGTCACAAATCTACACAAAACTAACCTGTAACCATTGACTTCTAGTATTTGTTTTCCCTTTCAAAGTCAATGGTTACAGGTTTCTAACATTTTTCCAAATATCTTTTTAGTGTTAGTGTAAGTTTGCAATGATTTAAGGGTCAGTAAATGGTGAGTAGGCAATGCAGTGGTGCAGTAGGTAGTGCTGTCGCCTCACAGCAAGAAGGTCGCTGGTTCGACCCTCGGCTCAGTTGGCGTTTCTGTGTGGAGTTTGCATGTTCTCCCTGCATTCGCGTGGGTTTCCTCCAGGTGCTCCGGTTTCCCCCACAGTCCAAATATATGCAGTTAGCCCAAATTAGTTAGCCTAGAGACAACAGGAGGTAAGATCCAATATGCAGGTTTATTCAGCGTCAGGCAAGCAGTGGTCATACAGGTACAAACGGTTATGTGTAGGCAAATCCAGAATCATAGTCATATAAACAGGCAATAGGTCGAAAGGCAGGCGGCTAAACAGGAGAACACGGATAAAAAAAGGTCTAAAAACAGGAAAACAAGACAGGGAAACCGCTTCGTAATGCTATGGTACAGCTAACAAGACTCGGCAAACTGGATGGGTGAATGAGTGGCTTATGTATGGTGTGCTATCAGTCTCTGACAAGGTTCAGGTCGTGAGTGTAATCAAGCTATATGAATGAGCATGGGTGTCTGGGCGAAGTGCATGTATGAATATGTAGTCCTTGGAAAGGCGGAAGTGCAGTCCATAGTGTTCGTGTGAGAACCAGCGATCTCTTGAGAGCGATCGCTGGTTATGTGACAATGAGTGTGTGTGTGATTGTGTGTGTGGATGTTGCCCAGAAATGGGTTGTGGCTGGAAGGGCATCCACTGCGTAAAAATGTGCTGAATAAGTTGTTGGTTCATTCCGCTGTTGCAACCCCAGATTAATAAAGGTACTAAGCTGACAAGAAAATGATTGTGTAAAGTAAATGGTGAGTACATTTTTAAATTTTGCATGAACTATCACTTTAAAAGGGGTCAATGTTGTGTGGTTTAGTGATGGGGATTACTTCATATGATTATAACGTATTTTGAAGCACTCAAAAAGCTGGTTATTCCTAATCTAATCTAATTTTGGCTCCCATCGGACAGCTTGATTTTAAAATGACATTCAAATGATATCAAGCATGACATCAAAATTGTGGCACAATGCAAATCGAATGTCACAACCTTGACGTCTGTTTGACATCCACACATTGATGGCT